TGACTCTATGTACTTGACTCCACGCACTGCCCTCTAAGACTTTATACACTCGACCCCGTGACGTTACATAGTCTCCAATTACATAGCTCCAAAACTCATGGCTAATGATGCTTTCGGGCCACTCGTCTTCTAGTGTTGTATACTGTGCTATATTTCATGGTTTGTTAAGCCATGATCTGTTCTGTTATATGGTAACATATTAACCATAGAATCTTGGATGTATCTGAAACCCAGAGCCGTCAATGAGCCTCGAAGCCCAAGCTCCCAAGAGCTCCAGAGAGGCCAAAACGTTTTCGGCTGGAAGCCTGCTTCAAACAAGCGAGTCCCTTGCGGCGCCTTGGTTCAGAAATGCATTTTTCTGCGGAAGAGCTTCGCATGGGCTGGAGCTACAACCTCGGCCGGCTTCAGAAGGCAAGTAGGGGCATTTTGCCGCAGGAAGCCACCGTGAGTACGACGGCGAGCCTGCTTCAAGCCAATGACTCGCTCATGGTGTCTTGGTTGCAGCACGCCAGGGTCGAAGATTAGCATGTCGGTTGGAAGAGGGATTTGCCAATCTTGTCATCAAAGATACGGCCCAAGTCTGCAGAAGATGTAGTTTCTTCCACGGCGCGAAGCCCTGGCCGTATCAAAGCAGGATAGCCAGGAGGCTCCTTTAGAAAATTATGGGTGTGACGGGCCTGTGTGGACAGCAGTGAATTCTCCTGCAATGTGTGCGACGGGCTTTGGACGACCCCGATAAACGCGTACCGCCCGGCCAAAAACTAGCCAAAATGCGAGCAGCACGCTGTGGCCCTAGACCGTAACCCCAATGCTCAAGCTGCCTGACAGCACTAGCATAAGCATCCCCAGGTGGTTCGATAGCTTTTCAGGTAGATTTCCTTCATAAAATGGTCTGGTGATTCGGTAGCTTTCCAAACGGAGCGAGGAGGTCCACAGCTTGCTTTTCGCATGGCGCAGGAATCCGCTTCGAGTGCCACGGCCAGCCTGCTCCAATCCAACGAGTCACTCATGGTGTCTTGCTTGCACAGCCTCAAAACTTGAAGAGCAGCATAGTTTCGAAAGACTGTTGGGTTCGTATTCTCCCTCTCGCCGCCGCATCTCTGGAGTGCTTCTTGCGCGTTGAGGGCTTTTGACTCTGTGCACAGTACTGACTGATGCGGGTCTCCGCTGGAAACAAGAGCCTCGCATCGGCATGGAGCCTGAGCGACAGTCTTAGCCAGAGCACAGCCTGTATTGTACAAAGTGTGATTTCTGTCGGGCGCCTTGAATCTGGCCCGTGTCGCAGGATGTCCGATTGATAGGCATGATGCAGGAGAACGAGTACGACATGGTGGGAGAGCACTGCATCCTGATTAATACCTCTCAGTCGTGGTTTTATACCGACCTGCAAGGCTATCCAACTGAAGGGTCCTGTAAGTCAACAAGCATCCTTGAAATCACACGCAACCCTCAGCCGACGCCTAAACCCTCAAGCTTTACATCATCTTTACCGGAGATGCAGGTGGACTGCTTCGAGGCCAATTCCTACTATACGCCCCAAGACATTCCTGGCCATGGTGGGAAGCCCAAGATTTAGTGTCTCAGGCCTTTTTCAGACAAGCGTTTGGAAGGCAGCGTTTCAGGCTCAGCCTTTGGGCTGAGGGTAGTGACGGGTAGTGGCTGAAGTTCCGCACTGTTCGAAGTTTTCAGTTCCTGGCCCTATCAAGGTATAGTTGCACTCGAACCTTTGCAGCACAACTACACCTCATCCAACATACGAATCTTCCTAGCCTCGGCATTGCTTTGCGGGCTTTGAGACCCGCGGGTTGGACATCCTTCAGACCCTTCTCTGAAGACCGGCTGAATGAATCTGAATGAACCTGGTGCCAAGGCTCGGGCCCACCCATTTCAGTAACAGGAATAGTAGATAGTAAGGGGAATGGCAATAATTAGTAGTAATAATCATAATAACAGAGCTTCCATATCTTACGAAGCCTCGGCTCTCCAACTTCATCCCTGCCATCAAATGTTACCCCGGCCTGCTTCCCACAGCTGCCCGAGAAGCGGCAGAGGTCGGTCGTTCGCACACACCCCGCAAGAATGCCAGAGAAGAGCCGTGGCTCAAATTTCCATAGCTTGTCGCCTTTTCCCCTGCTTTAACACCGCATTCATGGTTTCCCTGTGCGTTCGGCAATGTTCCCATGCAGCTGTTTCATACAGCCGCGATAGCCTCCGATGACTTCGTGAAGTACAACTCTACAGACACTGAGAAACACCAGTTGTTCTGCAATCACTGTGTGTCTCCAGTTTCTGTGGAAACTATCAGGATCACGGTAACAACCAGGACTTTGGAAGTTGCGCCGTCGTTTGCAATCTGTTGACAACTTGTTCGGTCCGTAGGAAGTTGGTTGAGCAGCCTGCGTGCGGGCAGCTGCGTGTTCTCTTCCTTTTTTTGATCGGTCGTAGTGAGAGCTCTTCCCATGCGCCGTCGAGGGCCGATAGAAGATGCAAGTTGCACCACAATCTTGTGACAAGGACCTTCACCTTCCTATCGGTGTGAATCTAAGGATGTGCACAGGTGGCCGGCTGTGCTCATTTCAGCCGCTGGCCGAGTCTCGGAGAGAAAGCGAGCTCAAAAAACGAGGTCAAGGTCTAAAAGAAGCTGAGTCTTCTGCAATGAATGGGCCCCAGGTTTGAGGGGACTGCTGCGAAACAGTAACTATATGTGGGATGGCCCATCGGAAGGTTGAATCCTGTTGAATCTAGAATCTAGAACGACTCCCAACTGCTTTCGGGCTTCCACCCGCACGGCAGCTTCAGCCCAGGGATGGTGGTTGCCATATACAAAACGGCTCCCCGGCCTCGCATGCCTTCACTTCTGGCCGAATGCTATTGTGACTCTTGTACCTTTGGGTCTCTCCTGGGTGTTTCGTGCAGACTCTGCGTGGGCTTTGAGAGGCTTCGGCGACTCAAGGATCGGGATGCTTCGGATGTGGGGTTTAGATCGAGGTGCTGGTGCTGCTAGTCGTCGTCCTAGCAGCAGTGCTGGCGACTAGACATTTTACCAGACAAAGGTTTGCAGACAATAAGCTGTCGAGGGATTGGAAGGCAATCGTGGACACACACACACACACACCTAGCTGTCTATCTGTCTATCTATCTATGTATCTGTACAGATAGGTAGATATAGATATAGATACGTAGAGATATAGATATGTGTATATATATATATATATATAGATAGTCATACGTGTATTCAGTCATCTTTATATCCCAGAAGACGAAGTACGACAGTGACATTCCGAAGCCACATATCAGCAAACTACAGCAAGACAAACCACATCCCAGTGCAGGCTAGGGTAACCATCAGCCCAGCTGGGCCGAGGCGCGGCGACCAAAGTCCATCATCACGGCATCACAGCAGGCCCACCCATATGTCCGGAGGCCAGCTTCGCCGAGCCTTTTTCCTTTCAGTGGTCCTCTCTCGCTTTTCCAGGGCTGTGCGGTACCCCACACGCAGCACACGACGGTGTGCACGGGCCAATCCATGCTCGCAACATGTATTCCCCACTGGAAATGCACGTTTGAAGTTTAATCCCAACCTGCCAATCCGAGAAACGAGCCCTCCTAAATCGCGGAGGGCCTCGGGCCCAGTTGCAGGAAGGTCGGAAGACGCTTCAACTGCCACGATCCCATGCGAATCAGCGTCATGTGGATTTGGTGAGCCTTGCAGGTGTCCCCATTGTGCTGTGTGTTGCCCCCGTGTTGCGGGTGTGACAAGGCTTACAAAACAGCCACAAAAAAAGAGGGGAAGACCTCAAGGTGGCTGGCCTGTGGAGCCGACAGCCGATGGCGGCGGCGAGCAACAAGACGCCGAGCTGGTCAGGTTTTCAGGATTCAGGAGTGTGTGTAGACATGAAACACGTGTTCAGGTATGGTGGGCTGAAAAGGAAGCAGTCAAGTTTAAAGTCCGGGAACTGGCCAGCCAAGGAGGGTTCAGTTTGGAGATCGCGTGATCCAGATTGGCCAGTGGCGACTGGGTGATGTGGATGGGAATCATTTCTCCATCTCCCATTCAAGCCTGAAGACCCTGGTCATCTATCGATCCAACAGCGCCGATGATCCACATCCCGTGTTTAGCGGGCAATTCCCAAATTGGGGTCTCTGGGGGGGTTTGGCGCCCTCCCGGAATCCCCCGATGGATCAATCCATGGGGGTCAGCTTTGGTGACCGCTTCGTCCAGATCGGGAACTTCCGGCTCGGGGACGTGGATGGCAAGCACTTCTCCGTGGCGCACGCTCAAACCGGCAAGACCCTCATGGTCTTCCAGAGCGACGGCAACCAGGGACATCACCCGGGCCCTCGCGATGATTTCACGACCCTGGGCCGACAGATGGAGCAGTGCCAGGCGGGGGGGGCCCCCGAAAAACTCTAATATAGAAGCCCCAAAATAGTAAGTACCTATACTATTTCGGGAGGTTCCGACATGATACTTTTAGTATATAATATACCCCAAAACCCTACAATGGGACCCCAAACCCCTAGGAGGGCAGGGAGGGAGAGATTTTTTGGGAGCCCGCAGCCCGCTGTGTTTTGGAGGAGATGGAGCCGTGAAAGGTCTCGGTCTCTGAGCTGCGTGGAAAGTGATCGACGTGGGATTCTGTTTTTGGAGTTTCTTCTGTTGCAGCTTGCACGTGTTCTAGCGATTCTAGTGTCCTTGATCGGATCCTTCAGGATTCTGCATCAATACATGTAGTTTCAGCCGGTCGTCGCGTCTGGGTTGAGCTACCCCATGCGACATCTCACGCACGGCCGTACGGCCACAAGCTGGCCACAAGCGATGGCTTTGCAGTGAACGTGCGAAGGTGGCGAAAAGGGATATATAGCTCCTGTAGAGGCAACGAGGTCGAAGTCCGTGAGGCACCTAGACCCTGGTCCTCCAATGTGACGCTTTGAAGCTCGTGTTTTAGCTGGAGTCTTGGTACGCAAGCAGTGCAAGAAGGTCATAAATGGGTCATGGCTCCATGTTGTCTTTTTCTCATCTATACTTCGCCATCCTCCGCACTCACTGACATGCTATCACAAGCTAGTGTGCAAGTATGGCGCAGCGTAGACGTCGAACTGCGCGATGATTTCAGAGCATGTGATGCCTGGGCTCTAGGGGGTAGCCCCCGGACGGTTCATGGTCGTTTGCACTTCGGAACATGCACTGACGGGTTCCTCCCTTTCGAAAGAGGCCACCACCTTGAACCATCCGTCACCCAACATCCCTTCGAACGCTTCGTCATAAACCAGCTCGGCACCCAATCCCAAACCACGTGCACTCATCTTCCAAGAAAGCCGGAATCCACGAGCAAAAAATCCCACAAATCACAAGCGGTCAAAGCCAGCCTTTAAGCTCCAGGCCCTAAACTTCGGATCCCTAAAGCCAGACTCCCCGAAGACCCCGAAGCTACACCCAAACACCCCCCTTAATCTCAACAGAGTCGCAACACGTTCTGAGCTCCCCATGTCGCTGCACGGCAAGCGCATCGTCTTCACTGGCACCTTGTCCATGACGCGCAAAGAAGCCACCAAGTTGGCTTCCGAAGCAGGCTCCACATCGGGTTTTCTATATATGCGGGCGTTCACTAGGGTTTAGGGTGAGGCTCCTTAAAACAACCTGGCGCCAAGTGTTTAGGGTACCCCAAAAGGGACCTTGATTCTGACAACATTCTAGTGACGGGTTTCATGCGCCGCCTCAGGGCTCGCGGGAGAGGGGTGAGGGGTCTTCCAGGTTCAGGTGAGCTTTGGTTCGGTGCAGGTGCCTCGTCTCATATTGTCACCGGGTTTGTGATCTTATCGGTGTCATCTGCCTCCGACTCCTTTACACTGTGAGCTCATGGATATCGCATATTGGCCCGTTTCCTCGAAGAGGCTTTCCCCATACCCAGTTTGTAGAGACGATTCTTGCAGCCAAGCCCGACCTTTTACAGACAAGCAGTTTTGCGCTTGAAGAGCCCCGGAAGACTCGGAAACTTCGAAGCTCCAGAGTGGGCCAGGCGCCCTGGTCACCGGAAGCATTTCGAAAAGCACAGATATCATCGCGCCTCGGCCTTTGCAGGCTTTCTGCCCCACCTTTGATGGCCTTCTTCTCTCCAGCTCTCGGCAGCTTCTCAGCTCTCCCTTGCCGCCCCTCTACTTTCGCTTGAGGAATCTGCGGAGCGGTGAGTTGGTGACAGCTCTTGGGGTGTCTGAAGTCTGAGGTTGCAGAGAGCGACGCCGCAAACACAACCAAAGTGCTGAGTGCGAAGGCCTTCGGCACGGAGATCTGGAGCGAGAAGGACACGAAGCTTTAAATCGAGATCGCGGTTCCCTACACCCTATACGCATGCTGTTAAACCATTTTGTTTCAATGGACACCGTCGACACCGTAGGACAGCGCTCTGGGGCAATGGTTCCTAGCGCATCCTGACAGTGTCACATCCCTATCGTACCTAGGTCAAACCAGCTACCTGCCTAATCCTGGCCGCAGCTCCACGACACACGCAGCCAAAGGTTTTCCAGAATCTGCGTCACATGGATCTTCTTCAGCGTCTTCGCGGTCACGCTTATCTCTCCTGTCTTCCGTGTTTTGAATCCTGCTCAACCTCGTCCTTCACATATTGTCCATCTCAGCATCCAGACCCTTCCCATCCTTGTCATAGGGCCGTGGGGATTGAAATGAAGGGCCACAGTCCTCTCAGCAGAGTGGATGAGTGGCGGCACTTTCTGCTGTTCGATTTGCTTAAAGAGGATGGTTATTGCATGGTGTTGAATGCTATTGCGATTGAAGGCATCAGAAACTGTGGCGGGTCCGCCTTCGACCCCAACTTTGAACAAGAAGCAGAGTCTGGAGGGCGTATCTCTCTCTCTCCCAACCTTTGCTTTGCATGCTGGAAGCCTTCGTCGCCACGAAGATGCACCCAAAAAGCATGGCCCCAAGTCCTAAATCGCCCCCAAAAACCCTAAAGGCCCTAAAGTGCCTAAACCCCACGAAAGGCCCCAACTCTTAAATCTTCCGCACAGGATTTCTCGAAGGCCCTGAAGGCCAAGCCGAAAGCCAAGGCCAAAGCCAAGGCCAGGTTTGCCGAAAGGCTCTTTTTAGGGTTTAGGGTTTAGGGTTTAGGGTTTAGGCTCTGTCATATGCTGGAGTCTCTAACCTTATCTAAATCTAGTCTAATATAGTATTCTAACCTCGTCTAAATCTAATCTAGTCTAGTCTAATCTAATCTAATCTAATCTAATCTAATCTAATCTAATCTAGTCTAGTTTAATCTAATCTAACACAATAAATTTCATTCACCATGATGTAGTCTAATAGAAGGGAATGTAACCTAACTGATCATAATGTACTCTAATCTAGTCGAATATGATACAATGTACTAGAATGTAATGTTCAGACGAGAATTTTGGGGCCCGGTCGCTGGCACAGCTTGTTTCCGGATCATGTGGTTACGGTCCACCGGTTGATTGAGATCCGCAAATGCCCACATTACTACACCGAAGCCCGTTCTCGAAGCGAGCATAGCTGCAAGCGCTGTCCCCGAACAGTTCAGGATGCGTGCGCGGTCCAGTCTCTGAACCCCTCAAGCCCGGACCCAAACTGTCGAGGCCAAGGGACGAAGCCCAAAAGCGGCCGCCGTGCCAGCGGTAAAGAGCCAGCATTTGTCCCACGGCTTTTGGCAGGGTCGCTTGAGGTTTCTGTGCCTGAGGTGGCCTGTGGTGGGGTTGCCGAAGCAGCGCTCGGGTCTGGCCCCAAGGTTCTTGGACCACGCGAAGAACAAGGAGTTCGACAAAGTCATGAAGTTGGTGAAGGAGAATGCCGGCTATGTCACCGGACTCAGCGAGAGCCTTGCAATCAACTCCCAAAACCCACGCACATTGCGACCCCTCGTGCTGGAAGAACGGAGGGCAAAGAAGCTTGAGAGTGCACAGCAGAAGAAAGCCAGTGTAAGCCTATAAAAAATGCCGGAAGCTTACAGGTCAACGTCCAGCCGGCAGGCCGCTGGACGGCCCTGCATCAGGCGGCGGAGGCAGCGATGCGGGTCGCCCTGTGCAGATCCGGTTTTCTCGTGGTATCGGGTGGAGTCAGTAGCGCTGCGTTTCGAGATCAGTGAGGTTAGGGAAATAGGGCGATCACGAGGCCCTCACATCCCGACGCTTTGAAGCATCCGCTCGGAATCCCCAGATTGCCAGATCCTGCTGCAGAAGCCGGGAGCAGTGACTGCACGCCTTTGTGCATCGTTGAGGCCGGAGACAAGAAGGTCGTGAAGTTTCTGTTGGATCACAAGGCGTCTCGACCGTCAGACCTTGCTTCGGGTTCAAGATTGGCTGATAGCAGTTTATCGGGGGAGTGGCTTGCTGCTGTCTTTGTGAACCCCAGCCGGAATAGTGTCGTGTGAACGACTTCCATGCAAGGTGAAGCCGATAGAGTCCTAGAGCGTATGGACGCCGATTCCTCTGCTTTGGGGTAAAGTCCGGGTAAAGGCCTTATGACGACACAAAGCCTCTGAAGCACAAGACTTGTCCGATCACGGAAGAGAAAGCATAGGACCCGTTTAAGCATCCCAGCCGAGGCCGATGTCACCCTCCAGACCAACGACGGCCAGACGCCCGTCGACGTGGCCAAAGCCAGCGTGAAAGACCTGCTGAAGGCGCGCCTGCAAGCCGCCTGCAGCCTCCGGGATTCGAAGCGAAGCTCCCTCTTGGGACTTTAAGCCTAGGATCCGGACTCTCCGAAATTCAGTCTGAACTGGAAGTGCAGGTGCCGGGAAAGCGCAAAGCAGCTGCTGCCGGCCTCGAGAAGTCCACGGACTGCAGGCACCAGCGCTGCAGCTGCGGGCGGCGGGCACGATTGAGGCTAGAAACCAGCCCGAGCTCCCAAAATCGACCTCAGGTTGCATCTCTTTGAGCCCATGTCGGCAACCGAGCTTGCAGTGGCGTGGCCGGATCTTCCGTTCCGTTTTCTTGTTGACCTGATGACCCCTTCGGCCTGAAGTTTGCTTCAAGCGATGCCACCGAAGGAACCGGTGAACAAGTCCAGAAAAAGCAACAGCTTAAAGTATGGCAAATAGCACGGCAGATGATACATCGACAATCCGTCACCACTGCCGCTCAAGCTCAGGAGAAGCAAGGTGGGTGGTTTGCCGGTGACGACGACTCTTCGTTCTGCGAAGAAGGCAGGATGCGTTTTGAAAGAAAGCCGAGGTTACAGAGGTTTGATGCAACTCTTTATTAAGCAAATGTTTTGGAAGTCCAGACACCTCCAAAAGAGGCGTGCAGCACCTGCACATGAAGACTGCCCCAGCGGAGGCGAAGAGCATAGCACAGGACAGGACAAGGGAAAGCCCGGGGGAAGTTCAGAGCATCTAGGCTTTCGGACTGGAGGTCCCCAGATCTTACAAGCCGCCCACCCGATTCAGGGACTTGGGGGGCACAAAGCGGCTTCTGTTGGCGACCGGGCCTTGAAGGTAAAGTCTGACACTCAGCGGTCATGTAGACCCCCCCGGTCTCAATGGGGGAGTAGATATTCTGGGATCTACATGATTTGCTGGAAATTCGGGTGATAGATAATTATTCGTTCTCTATCTGTGGACAAGCTAGGGTAAAGCAATGAATTGGCAACAAAGCACATCTTCTGCCAGCTGCTTCCTTTTCCAAAGAGCTTGCGATCACCTGTCATTGCTTTCATTGAGGATGCTCATGATGCTGGCTCCTACGTGAGGTCGCGGGTTGGAAGCTTCTGCGCCCATCCACCGTCCGGAATTCCGGTGGCTCACCCTTTTCGTCCCCAAGGCCTAGTCGACAGCCCGTCGTTACCACTGCAACTTCCAACGAGAGCCGGTCTTGGCAAGCCCACACCCAGACCAGCCGCTGCGCTCGCGGGCTCGGGACCCTACCTCTTCGGGGAAACGGCCGCACAACCAAAAAATCGTTTGCAAATCCTCAAAAGAGCCTCGCCGTCTGCCGCTCTAAAGGATCTTCAGAAGGCTGTGAAGGGAGCGTATATGGCCGCTGGCGAGTCCGACTGCGCGCCCATGGCCGCTGGCCTTCTGGGAGGAACTTGGAGTTGGGTCGCTTAGGCGCTGTATGGGGCCGTATTAGGGGTTTAGGGTTTAGGGTTTAGGGTTTGGATGCGATCTTGGATGCTATCCTCGTGGACCGCTTGAAATCTGATATGAATCAGCCAAAACCGCCAAGCCTTCGCATTCCGGAGCCCTGCAAACTCCAAATCCTCAATCCCTTGCAGGACTCGCACGAGACTCTTCAAAGGCTCTAACTTCAAGGCTTGCGTGTTTAAGTTTTTGCCCTTTTCCGAGGTCATCGTAATCTCCAACGCCGGCGAGTTCACGGCCTCGGATGCCATCCTCAAGTGGCTCGGCAGTTCAGGCGTCGGGGTCTTAGGCGTTGGATGGCCGGTGTTTCGATTTTTGCAATCCCAGGTTGGAACCTCAGAGCCACCCCGGGTGCTTAGGTTTTATTCTGGACGCCACAAACCCCAACAATTCAGAGGGAGGTTCTATTGCCCAGACTAGCTTTGAAGCCCTGACTTCAGGGCTTTGGCCGTGCTCGAAGACGTAGACGGCGAGATGCTACACACCAAGGCGCGGCCAGCTGAACCCTGGCCCTCCGTCAAACCGAAACTCACGGTCCTGTGAAGCCGACAGCATTGGGTTTAGGATGGTTTAGGGTTTAGTAGGAAGCTCATCTTAGCACCTCAGTGTGACAGAAGGGCAGAGAGATGGCTGCAAGATCTCCACCACGCTGGGTCTCACCGATGCTCAAAGAATCAGATGCGAAGCCAAGCCGCTAGGCTGCGGCTAGGCCTGCTAGGCTTTCTTGAGCCGAGAGGTGACGTTCGCGCACTGCGACTTCGGGGAGATGGAGATCTTTTGCAACAACGACGGGGATGAGGACGAGGAGACAGGGCGGACGGCCTGAAGTTGTAGGATGTAGGGGGGGTTGGGTTTGAGGGACTGGACATCTACGAGCTCCATCATATTCACCCTATGATTGCTTCTGCACGAATCACAACCCCCGAGTTGAAGGTTTCCTAGGCCCCAAACCCCGAGTCCCAAAGACGACGTCTACAGACTCCGTGGAACCGCAAAAGTGAGAATGTCAGGGTTCGTAGGCAACTCATCGGCAAAGAAAGCAGATCTTCAAAAGGGTCAAATGGCAATGAGATCGAGCTTGGTTCAAGTGGTTTCGGCCGAGGGGCTTTGCCAATAGGCGGATAAACGAATGTCTTCGATGCAGTAGCTGATATGACCAACGCTTCGTGAGCTTCTTGGTCGGACTGCAAGCCATTTGGTTTCGAGTGAAGGCCGTTCACAAGCCCGCTTCCATCGCAAACAGGGCGGTTTCCGGTTTCTGTTCTCTAAAGTTCCCTAAAGTCTCTGGAGAGAGACCAGAGGCTGCAGCACGGATAGGGCCAGGCCGGCCAGGCCAGCTGCAAGCCTGTCTGTCGACCGACCGTGAGAAGTTCGGGGCCGAGGATCCAACTGCAGGCCTTTTTGAGCGAAGCCAAGAGGTTCAGCGTAGGGATTGCTCGGTCTGGTGCCAGAACACTCCTGTCTCGTCTGGCGAGGAGGAAGAGGAGGACGAACACACCAAGAAGTTGAAGAAGCTGTCTCCGATGTTTATGGTTTCTGGTGTAGGGATTCCGATAGCGACGTTTGAAGCCGCGGTTTTGCCTAAGCCGCAGGTTCGAAATTTCAGATGCCAGTCTCAACAGCCGGGGGTTCAGGACTCTCGAGAGCTTATAAGGGAATCTCGTCTTTTTCCTGGGTGTCATGGGATCAGTGTCGGATTGCTGGGGCCATGCTTGAGGCTTTGTTTTTCAGAACCCTAAACCCTAAATAACCCTAAACCGAAAGAGCTTAAGGAAAGCCACCAAGATCATGGCCAAGAGCCTGACGGACTGCGACTGGCCTGAGAAAAAGCGGAGGAGGGGGGGGGAAGATCCGAGTTTTGAGCAGCTTGGGTCGAGAGAAGCCAGAGCAGACTTTAATGTATATTGCCTAACTAACTCTACTCTAAAGGGCCCAAGAACCCTGTTGAAATAATTAAAGCCCCTAAAACCCTAAACCCTGAACCCTAAACCCTAACTATACTATACTATAAAGGGCCGCAGAACCCTGTTGAAATAATCAAAAGGCCCCTATTTTTCTGGCTTTTCGACGAGGCTTCCACCTGAACTTCGAGGATGGCATCATCTGCGCGCCCCAGGCATGGAACTTTTGGGGCGGGAGTGTTTGGGGTTTAGGGCTTTAGGGCTTTCGGGTTTAGGGTTTAGGGTTTAGGGTTTAGGGTTTAGGGCTTTCGGGTTTAGGGTTTAGGGGCTTCTCTCAGAGGCCTTTTTGTGGTCGACTTTGGGTTTTTCGACTCACTTCCGAGTTTCTTGGAAGTCTCGGAAATCCATGGTGAGAGGCTTTTTTCAAGTTTTAGGACACCGGATACCCCCATCCCGGGCCCACTCCAGAAGATCCCTGCAAGATCCTCACGCTCTCTTGGTAGGTCTGGGGTGGCTGGACCGAGGACCAGAAGCACATCGTTGGAATTCTCGGCATGCGAGTGTGGACCTGAAACTCTCAGCCTCAAACCCTCTCAAACCCGTTCATTCTCGCAGGCGTCCGGAGCCTTTGCTGTTTCAATTTTCCGCACGTCAGCATTCCTTCGTGACGGTGCTCTCGGCTTCTCCCAAACACTCAGCCCTGCACTGCAGAGGTTTCCACAAACTTTACTGTAGCACAGGCCTGCATGCAACGCTCACGAAGGATTGTATTGGCAAGCAGGCTGTCGATTTAAGCCACGAGGCGGCAACGCTGCTTTGTGTCTTCAGCACCCGAAGACGCAGAAGTCGCCCTAGACAACAGTTCCAGCTCAAGCCCTCAAAGTATGTGACCGAGTCGTACGTCACCAAAGCAGCCATCAGCAGTAAGCAGAATTCTGCCAGGTTCTGGTGCATTCGTTTTAAGTTCGCACCCGGGCAGCGAGAACAATCTGAAGACAATGGCGCAGCTCAGGGATCACGGCTTTCAGCTTTGGAGTTAGATTGAGAAGGTTCGGGCTCAAGTTCTGTATTTGAGGGACCTTGTTGCAAGCTGTTGCCATGGGCTGGCAGGCCCAATCAGATACAAAATTCCCGTCTGAGATCCCGCGCAATATGGAGGGTGAGGAGAGGGGGCACACCTGCGAGGCTTTGGGGACATGTCTTACAGTGAAGCCCGTGCCGGATTGATAGGGCTGGCAGGTTAAGCCTGCCAGCCGCCAGCACGAGATGACACTCGTTGAAGATCGTTTGCCAGATGGAGGAGTATTGTACTCGAAAGCGGAAAAGTAGAGTTCCGGGTGCCAACACCTCTTCGTCGCAACAACAAGCCTGTCGTCAACAAGTGCCATACCGTCATTTGATTTGTTTGTGGGACATGATATGATCATATCATGTTGGGTTGACCGCTGCAATCCCCTCGAGTTATGCAACACACGTTTGTGCCGTTGCTGCATTGCAGGAAAGAGAAAGGCATCGCCTTCATCGCTTGTTGCTCAAAAGGAAGCTGCATCAACGCTGCGGAGCACAGGGATCGAGACAGGCAGAGAAGCTCACAGCAATTCATTCTGAAGATGGGGAAAAGTCGAACTCCAAAGGACCAGCATGATTGTAGGACTGTAGGACCGCCTCCAGACATGACAACATGGCCATGGCGACTTCTGTTCTTCCTGGTTATAGGATGCAGCGGGGAGCTATGCTTGCTGCAGGGCATCCCTTCCAGTCAGCGTGCGTACGTTTTGAACGGCGCAGCCGAGAACGTGGCAATTAAGCTGATGGTGTTCAACTGGCGCGCAGCCGAGCTCTTGTCCACGATAGCCAAGCTCCTGATAGAAGAGGTGCTCGGATACCATGCTGTGTTCGACGATACCCGTCCGATAGCGAATATAGAAGTCGTACAGGGTTTGGCTGGATGCTCAGACATAGACTGCAACGAGACGCAGAAGGACAAGCACGTGGCTCTTGATGTTTGGTTGGGGTCAGCTGGCGCTGATGTGGAGCTTTTCATGCAGCGTCATCCGGCAACTGCTCCCGAAGACCTCGGGTCCATTGGCTATGCAGGCCGTGTCGCTTCATGTTAGGGGGACGGACAGTTTGGAGGTCTTCGGGATCCGTTTTGTTTTTTGCAGGTGAAGAAGCTCTGTGCATCACCGGGAAGCTCCTAGACGAAGCCTACGAGGTTTCTGGTTTTTCGCTGGACTTCTACCGCTCTTACAACATGTCTCACTACCGTGCAGCGCAGCATCTCGCCTTGCAGCCATCCCTTATGCTGGTAGGAATCCTCCCTCGTTTATGGAAATTGTGACGAGACGAGGCACTTCGACCAGTTGAGCGACTTGCCCGCCCAGGATCTGTTCCAGTGCAACTTGGCCTGGCATGGTTGATGATTCATTTTTTGAAATCCTCGGACGAGTAGCCGCCTGGATTCACGAGCCGTGAACCTTTTCCGAACAGCCGCCGCTTTGTTTAGAGCCGTGTAAACTTGTTTCAATCAACGTTGTGTCATCAATGTACATTCATTCCAAAGCCCAGCATGCGATTTCTGTATGTAGAGCTTGCCGCAGCTTGCTTGTCAAATGTCAACATGCCGCAACTTTACAGCATTGACAGCATTCGGAGCTGCTGAATAGTAAAGAAATGCAGTCATTTTATTGCATCTCGAGCGGCGGAAAGTCTGCAGTTGACAACATTTGCACAGGGCTGGAAGCTTCTGAAGAATCGGACACATTCTAAACGACAGCAATCGGAGCTTGTAAATAGCCAAAATGCAGTTATTTATAACCTTTCACGCTCTTGAACCGCCAGGAATGCTGCAATTAACAGGCCTTGGAACAGTCGCGCAGGCTGCAATTTACAGCACTTGCAACAAGCAAGGAGAGCCGGCGTTAGCACAGGAAACGGGAGTGCGGCGGCGTTAGGAACAAAAGCCGTTGGCCTTCAAACAAGTCGTGCTGATAACCAAACCCTAAACCCTAAACCCTATAAGCCCTAAACCCCAAGAAGGGATCCTTGCGACCTCTGAGGCGATGAAGCAGGAGTCATTTGGACGGATCCTTCTTACATGGCTGACTATGCCCGCTGGTCAGGCAAGGATCAAAACGTTGCTGTAATATGCGATAATATCTTGAACAAGACTGTACCGCACATCATATTTTCATGTGCATACATATATATATATATATATACATACATACATACATACATACATACACACACATAGAATGTTTGATAAGATTAGTTCACGGGTGCTGTGTTTCTCTTAGCTCATAGCTTTGCCGAGAGACCCAAGAGAGCGGGATTGCTCTGCTACTGGCCGGAGCAGTAAGGGTTTAACGCCGAAGGATGTAAGCATGTAGAGCAAGACTCATAATAGCCCTCAGGGGTACACTTTCTAGGGAGAGCAAGCGGGAGCGGGGGTGGGGGCCAGGCGACCTGGCCGGCCTCGTCGAAGTAGGTGGAGGACCCTTGGTTCAGGTATGTGCCGGAAGCTTTCAAGGCAGCTCATGGACCAAGAGGTCCTTCAGGGTCATAAGAGAAGCTGTTACTGAAGAGCATCTGAGGATACCGTGCCTATTGCCCCGATGGTCGCTTCTGGATAGCTCCGGCTTGTCGCCACAACACCTCTGAGTGCGCCGTGGCCAGATGCTTTAGCCTCAAGACCGGTTCCCAAGAACTGTGGGGCAGGACTTTGGCGAGGGCACCGATAGGCACCGCAATGAACACCTAACTAAAGCCTACCATGTAGTCGCGCGCATTATCCGGCCGTTCCGACATGCAGTGTTTGCGCACGTCCACTATGTGGAGTTAGTCTCCGGACGACAGCCAAAGCGTTACCGGCGAGATTGCTGCCAAGGCATACCCATCATCTCTTCGCAGTGGGGCTGGATGGTGGATGCCTTCATGGCGTGGTCCACGGCCTATGGGTGCCCAGTCTAGTCTTGGCGTTCTCTCACCCGGCTGGTCTCAGAACTTTCGGTTTTGTTTGCCTTCGGGGCTTCTAGTTTATGCTGAGGCCAAGCTCTCAAGCGCACTCTCAGTTCGCTCGGAATCTGGGTTAATCGCGCGAAAACCCCCACCCGAATCTACTCTGAGGCTACCAACTGCGATCGCCATCGCCCGCGACATTCCGGAATGGGTGGCAAGCTTCCAAAATTTCCGGATCTTGGCATACTGGTCCCCCTGCCGCACCTGTCACATGAACCCTGGTCGAGGTGCATGGCATGTATGTTGGATGTCATGTAACATGCCCTTTTGCCAATCTTCTGCGCTTCTTGCGCCGCCACATAGCACATGCAGCAATGGTCTGCGGTGGCTCCAAGATCTGGCTAACGGAAGCAATCGGTTTCTTACGGCCCTCTGTTCAAATATCACGTGATCCAGCCTTCTCCTTGTGCGTTTGGCTGCTTATCCTTCCAATGTTGATTTCCCGTTGACGTTACTGGCAAGTCTGACGTGCACAGCATTCTCTACTGTTGCATCACAACTTGAGTGGTGTTGTTTTATGATATGTTATATTGTACTATGTCATGCTAGTTCATGGCCGCCCCATGTTGCTGTCGTTGCCCCATGGATTGGCATCTTAACAACTTACAGGCATCATGTCAATATTCTCGCCAATCAGGTGCCCTCCGTCTCAGGCAATCGGGAATCTTCCTGAAGCACGGAACAAGATCAACGAAGTTTCTGGGGGATCTAGAGCATGGCCTCCGTCACACGAGCCCATACCAGGGGTCCATGCAGGCTTTGAAACGCCACGCTCCCTGGTTCCTACGTAGGTCAGAAGCACCCGTGCAGTACTTACAACGGGTGCCACCCCCATAGGGTCATTTTCATAGCTGAACTTCCAAGTAGGCTCCGCTAGGCTACTCGCTAGGCTCTGCCTGGCTTTCGAGGTACAGGCCGGATGCCAGTCTTGCTCCTTGGAGCCCTCGGCCCATCAAATTTCCCCGGCACCGTGCCAGCGAGTGGGCGGAGGGGAGCCTGGGCTGTCCTGGCAGATTGCGGTTTTCCGAGCAAAAAACATGTAAGTCTTCCGAGTGCTTCAGGAAGCACCGAAGTATCGTAGCCGGCCGTAGCCATCTTTCTGTAGAATTTGGCCCAGGAACAAGCGGACAGAAGGGCTTGGCACCTACATCGGCAAGCTGGTCAGCCGCGGCTTGAGCTCCCAGGCCTCCAAGGTCCACAAGCTCATCCAAAAGATGCAGATGGAGCCCACGTCGCCTTTGGAGTTACTGTGAAGTCGACTCACTAGACGAGTCCTCCTTTGTGTGTCACATGCATGTGTATGCATGTGCCGATGTACGTAGATATCTACTCGCACATGCCTACCGATCGTTCTATCTCATCCTGTCTATCTTTCTATCTGCCTGTCTGTCTGTCTATCTATCTATCAATATCTGTCAACCAATCTATCTATCTATCTATCTATCTGTCTATGACTCGGTCTGTCTGTCTGTATGTATGCATCTATGTACGCACATGCATGTAATGCAGATATTTACATCTCCATATCCATATGCCTACCTATATCCATATC